CGGTCGAGTTCGGAGATCCTGAGGCAGGGCGCGCGAGCCGGGATTTCCGGGAACTCCAAACGAACACAAACATGGATAATCACCGAGTGTTCAAACGGTGACGTCCAAGTCTTGAGGACGGTCAAAAATGGGGTGTCTACACTACATCAGTCCGAGATTTCACTTTTTGGATCACTTTTTGACCTACTTCTTTTCTCTTAACTCTTAAAAACCGCCACTTGAGAGTTTCTCTCTCTACTTTTACCTTCTCTCTAAGATTTGATCTATTTTCGGTGGTCTTCTACCCTAGTTCCTTTGGAAGAAAGGTAGAGCTGCGCGAGAGCTTTCTTTTAATCTGAAAAAGAGAGGATTTGGAGCACTTTGGACTTTCGTCATCTTCTCCATTCGAGTTCTTCACTTCAAGGTAGGGATTTCCTACTCCATATTATAGGTTTTGTTCTAAGTTTTGGTATTTTGATATATTGGGGGTTGATTGGTAATTTTGGAAAAAACCCTAGTTGTTGTAATAAATTAATTTATATAATTAATTTAGGAAAAATTGGGGAATTTAGTTGAGTTCGTGGAATTAATGAATTTATTGATTAAATGGTGTAGTTGGTTAGTTTAATCACTCACCTATGAAAATGTTGGAATTATGTTGGTTGATACATTTATTTCCTGTTTAGAAATAACTGTTCTGGGCTATCGGTGGAGGATAGTCGTGATTGGTGTAGACATTGCATGTGGATTAGGGAAAACTGAAACTAATCACATTGGTTAAGTCATTGATTTAGACTGTTGAATTAATACAGAAAATACATGTATTGATTGTGTGTTGTATATGACAAGTGTTTAATACATTGTATATGCATATTGTTTGGGAGGAGATAGGAGATGGACTCCTAAACCGGATATTGTTTGGGAGGAGATAGGGGATGGACTCCATTAGCACCGCTAATATGTGTGCTTATTGATTTATGGAAGTATTTTTATATGTTGTTGATACAGCACTAAAATGTGTATCAAACGGAAAGTATGGAAGTGTTTTGGTATGAGCCTTAGTCTCATTTGTTTTGTTGATATTGGAAGTAATATAGATGTAATATATAGTTCACTGTTATAGTTTGGCCAG